CCCTCCTTTTCTCTGTCCTACTATTTTTTGCTTTCCCACTTGCTCTTTTCTCCCACTCAGTCATTCTCTTTTCTCTCTCTCCCTTTTCTGTCTTTATCCCAAGAGGGACACGTCTGTAACACTTGAGCCATGGGCGTACGTACAAATACCAAAAAGAAACAGAAATATTTGGGCTTGGATCAGGTCCTTCATTTCAAGGCATGTGTTAAAGAGCTGTGATGACCTCTAGCTACTTCCAGCCACTTCCCTAAGTCTCAGTGCCATTTTCTGTCTTGATGCAACTTGTATTTGTTTTGTGTCCTCCCCTATTACTGTCTACAAGCCTCTCTGGCCACTTCTTGTGGAACTGAGACCCCTTGTTTGTCCACCATCACATGTGAGAACCTCAACCTTGATGAAGACCTCTGCTTTACTGTAACGTGGTTAATAGCCACAAAACGTGCATGTAGGCTAAAGGCCTCATTTGTCTCTCTTTATGCAAGTTTTTCATACTTTTGTGAGGTGCTAAACATGGCTTTGCAGGTAAGAGGAGCAGGATGGTGCCCCCGGGGTGCGGTAGTGGGAAAGAACTGTAGTTATTTGCTGCAAGAGTTTGGTCTAGCCAGGGAACAGCCAAGTATCACGAGCGACTGGCAGCAGGTAGGTAGTTGGCTGTTTTCTGGGTAGAGCAAACACTTGGCAATTTGCTTTGAACTCTTCTGTATCTCCCTGGGGGGTGAAGACAGTGCGAGTAGTGGTTAATACAAAATACTTGGTATTTGATTTTAAGTTGATTGCTAGTGTTTGTCTTCTCTGCTGAGAATGATGGTGCCCGAAGGTGAAATGGAAGTAAAGGAGAACGTGTATACATGCTAGAGAGTTACTTTCTGCTGTTTTATCCTTAACGAGTTGCATTTTTAAGTCTCATGCTCCTAAAATTCTTATATGCTAAGGTATAAAGTGAACTTGCTTGGTTTGTCTCTGCATTTGTGCAGGGGCTGACTAGAGCTGCTGGAGACAGAGGAGAGGGATTTGCTGCCGGTGTTTTCCTTTGCATACTGTTCAAATACATTCAACTCAACTTTCTAATTCTTGAGGCAAATGCTTGATATTACTTGCTGGGTTGGTAGTTTTTATGGAGCATTTACAGGCTTGAAATGCCTTTTCCTTCTCTTCCAGCACTTTCTTGCTAATCCTTTTTTTAAGATTTTCTTCAATAAAGAAGGAAAAAAAGTTCTTTGAACTGTTTTGTCATAGCGAATGAGATCATCAGTGAAAAAATAAAATGAAGGAACAGCTTGTCCTTTGTTCTTCTGTGAGGTGCCACCATTCTCCTTTGATTTTAGCATTGTATGGGTGTTACACGCACAAGGTTTTGGAGTGGGTTCAAACAAACCAGATTCTCAGATCAAGGAGCTGAGCCTCCTCCAGAACTGCTGTGTGCTTAGTGCGGCATCGTGCTGGGGGAGACCTGCCTTTCCTACCTCTGTCACTTGGTGAGCTTCAAGAGAGGCTTCTACAAAGTTAAAGAAATCCAGGTCCATTATATTCTGCTATTCTTGCAGCCTGCTTGATGGTAAACGAAAAGAAAAATTGTCTTCTCTGAACACAGTGCTGCACGGGCATCAGGACGGCGTTGTTTGCAGTAGGGTGGCTATAAATCCCGTCCCTCTTCTTCAGAAATTTGGCCCAAGGGGAGCTTTGGTGGCTGAGTGTCCAGCCCTTTCCCTATTTCTACTTGCAAACCTCGGGAGGAGAGCTCCTCTTTGCAAAGGGCCTCATTATTGGGTTTTGCAATGCCATAGTGTAATTTCAAATAATACTCCTGTCTCCCATTCGTCTCTCTTGCCGCATCTCTGTAGTTGCAGAGAGGAGCTAATAGGGTACAGCTGCTTAATAAACCATGCGCTGCTTGATTCTAAACTGCATTCCCTGTTGCTAAATGTCTCCCACGTAGCAGTTTTGTAGTGGTAGCTTTGTAGTGTAGTAGGTAGTGTAGTGGGATGACAATTTTGCACCCACTTCTATTTGAAATGATTTTAAATGAAAAAATCCCAGCGATCCTGAGTGAAAGAAGCCACTTAAGTGCTTCAGCATTTTTCATTGCAATAAATGCTGCCTTGAGCTCTTCGTGTCATATCAGCAAATGAAGTGTCTGGCTTAATCTCCTGTACATTCTTATGTAAATTAATTTTTTTTTTTAAAAAAAATGTAATCCTTAAACAGGAGGTGTATACCTAGGACTTGTTGTGCAGCTTTAGCTTCACCGTAGGAGAATTTTAAATTTGGGGTGAAGCAAGTCTGTGGTTTGTAAAGTACTTGTTTCTGTAAAAAATCTAGGATATGAAGTCTATCAGGACTGAGAGCTACATGCCAAGATTTGAATCCTCTGTTTGCTGGAATAGTAGATTTCTTCACCAAAAGGAAGGTGGAGCAGACCATGTGTAGCTGCCTGTGGTGTGTGTGGTCCATGTGGTGTCCACCCTTTCCCCCTTTTTTCTGCTTTCTCTGACAAGACTTTTTCAACAAATCAGTGCTGATTTATCTCTCTTTCCCCTTCATTCAGACCACGTTTTCTTTATCTTGGGAAATAACTCAAGACTTACAATGTGAAATGTTCCTTTTTTGACTTTGTCATAAAAATCAATGAGACTAGAAAAACTGTTTGTGGACCTGGAAGAGAATCCATGTGAATAGTATTTTTTTATTCAAAAAGCTCTTTCATATTAATTAGCAAATAAACCAAGAGAGAGCAGCAGGCAGGTATTTCTGTGCGGGCTTAGGTTGGTGTTTTGTCTAACACGTTCAGAAGCAGGGATTTGAGAGAAATCTGATTGGTTCATCACTGTGCTGTATCTTCAAGTTCTCTTGGTCTGAATTTTTTTGGGATGAGGGAGATAGGGTGATTCATACTCGAGCAAGACAAACCTAAGAGCTGCCAGTTTGCATTATGTCAATGTATGTAAGAAAATATTTAGATAGAATTTCCATTAGAAGTTCAAAAGCAGGGGGCTCACACTGACCCCAGCTCTTAGAAGCTCTGGTGGGAAACCTGAATGAAATTTAACTCCGCTCAATGTGTTTTCGTTGGCTGACTCCATGTTTTATTATCTCATGCAATGAGATCTTTCTTGGTTTGTCGATTTTCTACCCAGGACAAAAAGTTCATGTATGTAACAGTGCACATATTGAATTAAAGTACGATTAAAGGCATGATGTAATGACTCCCTCTCCTTTTCCTTTAGTCAATATTTGCCTGCAGGGTCAATACATTACAATATTGACTTCAAAGTATTCAATATTTTTTTACCTTTTGAGTGTGTTGGCTTCTAGTGTGTGTAATACTAAACCTGTTGGTTGAGCTGTTGGTCTAAGACTTACTGTCTAAGTAGTTTCAGGCTTGGATGCCTAATCCACGTAGAGCAGCTTTCAAGGCATGTGATAATATCACAACACAGCTGTAGGCAGCTTTCTGAGGTGACCCATTTAATCTGCAGCCTTTTCTTCCAGCTTCCTAACGAGTGGTGGCATTTGTCCCTCGGTGTGCGCTGGGATTATTGCCCCCTCTCCCTGCTGCCATCGTTATTTACACTCTGCGGGACCTTCCTGTGACCGTGGGTTATGTGGACGAATCTAAACTCCTGTCTTCCATGTCCATTTCTGCTGCCTTCATATTTGTGCTCCTGAGTGTACAAAAGCAGAGCAAAAGGGAGATGATGCTTTATGCACCCAAAGTGCGGCGCAGATGGGGCTTGATAAAGTCAAGTTCAAATTGTTACGAGCTCAAACAGTCATGCGGGGCAGGTTGGTGCTCGCTTATCTGCACTCCCAGCTGCAGACACGGTGGGCTGGGTGGTTCTCCTAATATGAGATTGAACCTTCTCGGTTTCAGACAGGTTTCTTCTTTGTCTGTATACGTTTCCATTCCCACTCTGCTGAAATCTAGCACTGGTATCCAGATCTGCCATGTAATGATGGCAGCTATGAACCATTTATCCTTCAAAAACGTGACACTCTAGAGAAGCGCTTTGATAATATTCTTTTCAAGGCATATAAACAAACAGGATTGTCACCAGCGTGGTATCTTATTACGTTGCCTTTGTGAAAAAATGAAGGAAAGAAAAAATATTTATAGATACCGAGAAGTTAGTGAATTCCTCTAAAGAACCAAATGTTATAATTAGGAACCCACTGCACTTAGAACTATTCTACAAATAAGCACCACAAATCTAGCCTAGTCCTTCCAGAGAAAACAAAGGTCAATAGACTTCTTTGAGGATTAGCAAACCAGAATTTCTTGGACCAAGGTACTAATTATTTCCAAAGCTGACAATGATCACTACTTCCAAATCCGAATTATTGCCAAAGCCTCATGTTAAACCTCAGTAGTACTCCTCTCTAGTCTAACTTTTGAATTAAAAGGCTTCTAGACTGAACTCTAATTAAAGGATAAAAAGCCTAATCTGAAGGGAAGGCAGGATAACAGTGGGAATATTCTAATTGTGGAAAGCCGCATTTTTGCATGGCCTGATGCAAAGTCATTGGAGACTTCCCAGGTCACCAGCAGCAGTCTGGGCACAACCAGGGCGAAGTAGAAATGAGCACAACTCTGAGAACCAAAAATCATGTGTGACCAGCTGCTCTGTACCTGGGAAGTGATGTTCTGCATTACCTGTGTGCTTGTAAGGTGAGCGCCCATATTTGTTGCTTACTGTTGTCTGACAGCAAAGGGATGAGGACTGGGCTCACTACTACAAGCTCCTAGTAGGAAATATTTATCTACGTGGTTTTTAAGGGTTTTCACATATCCACTGCTCTGCTTGAGCAGCCACTTGCATGTTGTAGCCACGGTGGCGGTGAATTTGTTAATGTCCTGAGAGGTAGAAAGAGTTGTCGCTTTTGTGAGATCTAAGTATAAGGCAAAAAGGTTGTGGTAGCACTGGGAGAGCGGGGTGAGAGTTAAATATGTCAGCAGTTCACTTCTACCTGGGACCTGTACTGACTTTGTTGTGTAATTTCAGGGAACTTCGAAGTGGGTGTTCACATCGCGGACGTGAGCTACTTTGTACTGGAAGAAACAGCACTGGATAAAGTAGCAAGCGAAAGAGCAACTAGTGTCTATCTAGTGCAAAAGGTAAGGACGGCTTTTCCTCTTTTCATCTGATGAGCGTGTCTTCCATCTACCGCAAATTAATTTTGAAAATTTATTTTCAGGTGCCCACAATCAAAATCTGGCTGTTACCGCAGCAGACCTACCAAAATGAGTAAATCGATGCAAACGCAAGGGCTAACGTAGCTGCTGACTGCCTTGGAGCTTATGGCGTGAAGCAGCAGTTCGTGACTCTGTGTCTGTGGGCAGAGACCTGGGTGTGCCAGGGTTTTCCAGTGCAGGAGCAGCTTTGTGTGAGCAGGACTCTGCTGATTTGGAGCTAATTCACAGCCCAGAGCTGCACAGCTACCCTTGCACCATGCTGACCTGAGATAAGCGTGACAGAGCCAAGTTGGCTAGTCTGCTTTGCGGTTGGGAGCTTGGAATTCACAGAGGTGGTGGTGGAGAGTTTTGTCTTCAGTGCAGTAGCTAATCCCTCCCAGAGGTGGATGCATAGCAGAGTAGGGTGTAAAACACTCTGTGCAATCTCACATCTTGAGATACAACAGTATTTCATGGGCTTTTCTTTTATCTGAATATCCCAAATACTGGCAAAATTGTGTCTTTTCATCATGCAGTGAAAAGGTATTTGAAATTGTGCAGATTTCAGTGTAACAGAATGAAATGTTGAAGTCAACTTTAAAGTTGACTTCTGTACTTTAAAAATGAACAGGTTCAAGTTTAACGTTGCTGGAAAGGAAGCATCCAAGTTTTGTCTGTGACCGTCTCATTTTCAGTTGAATGTGCAGAAACATTTCCCAGCTCATCAGATACTGCCAGCACTGTGTGCAGGGAAGCCGGGCAGTTTGGCTCTTCGTGTCCTGTGTCGACCTGAAGCAACACCTGCAGGAAGACCAGGCAGATCTTGTAGAAGCAGATAAATCTGCCTCTCTCCACAGTCCCATTCAGTCAGTCTGAAGTCCTTGTCTCCACAGCCCTTTCCAGGATGACAGGGCATCTTTTGTATAATAAATCAACACATTCCTTACTGTGAGGGTGGTGAGACACGGGAACAGGTGGCCCAGAGAAGCTGTGGATGGCCCCCTCCCTGGAAGTGTCCAAGGCCAGGTTGGACGGGGCTTTGAGCAACCTGGTCTAGCAGGAGGTGTCCCTGCCCATGGCAGGGGGCTGGAACTAGATGATCTTGAAGGTCCCCTCCAACCCAAACCATTCTATGGTTCTGTGATATCCTACTTAGGATTAGGAGTGATTCTTCTATTCCCTTCCTGAATGTTCTGAGGGTTGCTATGCAAGGAGGGTCTTGTAGTGATATTTACTCCAAGAGTTTACTGTGTCCTCTCCACACTTTCAAGATGATGAAGTTACTTATTTTATGCTATTTAAATCAAATTAGAGATTTAATATCAAGCTGTTAACCTTTCGGAGCTGTTCCATAACTTTCCTTGAGTAGAAATAGCAAGGCGCTGCTATTTAGGCATGATAGCAATGCAGAAGTGCCCAAGATGGGTCGGTGGCAGCAAGGCCAACAGCACTCAGGTGCTGCAAGGTAGAAGCTTCCCCTGGTGCTCGGGGATGTGGTTTTATGGTGGGCTTGGAGGCTCTGGGTTAACAGCTGGCCTTGGATCTCTTCTGATTCTGTGATTCCCTTGTCCTGAGGCAGCTGTTGGCTCTGAAACCATCTCGGGAGCAGACGTGCAGTGGCCTGCACCTGCTTCTGGTGGAGCAGTGGCTCAGTCAGCCCCACTCCTCAGGGGCATATAAAATGTTTTTAACTTCCCTTACTGTGAGAAATTAAGAAGAATTTCTTTATCGAGAGGGCTGTCAGGCATTGGAACAGGCTGCCTAGGGAGGTCATTGAGTCACCATCCCCAGAGGTGTTTAAGAGACAGGTAGATGTTACCTTGAGGGACGTGGTTTAGTGGTGTTGATAGGGCTAGGAAAAGGTTGGACTCAATGATCTTGAAGGTCTCTTCCAGCCAAAACTGTTCTGTGATTCTGTGATTTTATGACCAGGGAGTGACAGCTCTGAGAAACACCAGTTACCAGTGACTTTTTGTTCTCCAGGGTGGGAAGGAATGTGTATCACTTGGAAGGAGCTGTAATGGCACCAGAGTCTTCCCAATCCTACAGTCTCCCCAGTGATAAGCCCTTGACTTCTGTGGTGCTCTGCTTCCCCCTCTGATGGATGATTCAACGGCTGTAGCTCCCTCTGGGTGATGTGGGCTGGCCCAAGGGGGATTTCGCTGCTGGACAGCAAAGCTATAGGCCAAGAAGATGTTGTGGCAGTATTTGCAAGTCAAAATGCTGTGGTTTGAAGGCATGTGATTTTTAGTTTATTTTTTTTAAAGGGAGAAATAAGATTTTTATATAGGAAGGACACATTTTTCGTGAAAATCTAGTTGAATCCAAGAGCTAATTGAATTCTCTTTCAAAGTGCTTTTTTTTTTGCCCAGCACTACCAGTCAGTGATGTACGATGCCAATGTAAGTTATCTGTTGCCCGTAATCTTCAATTGCTCTTCAGCTGCCTTGGTCCAGCAGTCAAGATTAGTGTTTTACCCACAGTTCTACCCCACAAAAAATATATTTTAAGATTGCAAACTAAGTTAAATGATGAAATGGTCAGTATTTTAATTGCTAGAGGTTAAAAGGAGAGAGGGGATGGGCAAAGGAAAGTGGCCAGCATGTCTGAAACAAGATGGTAGCATGACTCTTACAGAAAATATGCTTTCCTTTGATGGAACTGTTTCCTAAGACAGCTGTGATTCTGCTAGAGGTTAGCACCACGCTAATCCTCCCAAAGAAGTTAAATAAAGCCACATATTTAATTTTCTTGAATCATGTATCCAGAAGGGGAGTTATTGTGTAATTGCTAGCAGTCTATTTAACAAAAGTCAAAAGTTTTTGAAATAAGAGCGTATCAGGTTTTAAGAAGCAAGAAAACCTAAACAGTTTCCTCTTTTTTGGCACGCCTTATAGTGTTATTTTAGGTGTGAAGCAGCTCGAGTGAGAGGTCAGCCATAAATCCCTATAATATTTTATTGGTCCTATTTTATACTGGAGATCAAAGATTGGAACTGTAAGCCTATCTTCACATTGAGTCCAAGGATTTCGAGACACTCACTTTTGACACCAGCAGGTTGTCAGGGTGTTGATATTTTGATAATCTCACGCTGAGTAACAAAGAGTTGCTCGAAATCTGAATTCATGGAAGTGTTGATACAGGTCTTGAGCAGAAATCTTGGCTCGTAAACAAATTGCCTATTTCCTTTGAGCGTCTTTTAGTGTGTAAGCAAGAGGCTTGCTGAGCCCACCCCATTGTTGGACCTCGGCATCCTCCTCTCAGCTCAGGGGAGAGCAGCTGATGGAAACTCTTGGTTAGTACAATCCCTCCCCTTTGGGCTGACGGTGGGAAAAGGGGTCACCCCGGGAGTCAGCAGTGTCCAAACCAGCAGAACCAAGCCTGAGCAGGCAGCCAAAGCAGGGACCAGCAGAATGGGATTGTCTGAGGGGAGCGAAGCTGCCCGTGCAACTTTGTGAGAATAAGAGGTTATTCTTCACCAAAGTTTGTTCCCTTTTCTCTTTGGTTGACTGATCCATTTTCCCCCTTCCGTTCCTTGAAAAGCTGCTACAGCAAGTCCATTGATGAGAGCCGCCCTGGCTCTGAACCCGGCTGGTCGGTCCATGCTGGCTGCAGCAGATGTTTCTGGTTTTAAAGGGAATGGGGAGTTTTATCATCCCAATATGCGTGTGCTCCCTCCCACTGCCTGGCTCCCTAGGAATGAGTCCGAGGCTGGAAATCTGCATTTGGTTTCTGGAAGCACTCTATTAGCGGAAAAGACTAAAACAGAGGAAAAACGAAGGGCTCTCACAAGCAGGAGGTTAGATCTTCCCATGTCCAAAGTGCATCCACCATGCAGAGGAGGCAGCTGCTTAGCAGTGGGGCTGGCCGTGGTTACAGGTCCTTAGGTTCTTTAACACCAGGATGATGACGTACAGGAAACCCTCAGCCCCAGTGATGTCTTCTCTTGCCTTGATTTTCCCGTGCTGCCCGCTGCTTTGGGGTGCTGCGACGCAGGGCTGTCTGCAGGGAGCGGGGCTGTCGGGCAGGGCTGGAGCACTGAGTCTCGGGCTGTGTACAGTAGCGCTGGAAATTTCACAGGTAGGACTTGGAAATAGGGAGAGAGAAATCCTCTGTCAGTGAGTTGGTTTGAAATGAAGACCCACAGCTGTGAGCATTGTGGATGTCAGCTTTTCTCTCAAAGAAGTGCCTTTTCCAGTATATCTCGGGCTCTACTACGCTTGTGGGGAGAGATGATGTCTTTTATTAGTCTGACTGATGAAGGGGGATGAAAACCAGACAAGCTCTCACTGCGCAAGCCTTTCTTCAGCACTGGTTTCTATGATACAATAATTAGAAAAGATTTCCCGTAGGTCCTTTATTTTCATTGTGAAAGTTCTTTCCCTAGTCCTGCTGAGTCTCTCCAGCTACATTTCTAGATTCAACTACATGTATACACTTGCCCTGTTCCAGCTTTATGATCTCTCTCTCTAAGCCCAGGTGGCTATACCTGCAGTAAAATCAAGCCGAAGGGTGTGATCCCCAGCGTGGGCACCTCCAAAGCACTTTGCTAAGGAAACCCCTCCATGCCATTGGCGATATCCCTCGGCACAGTTTCAGCTAGCCGGATTTCTGCGTGCTGTGGCACTCCGCAGGGCAGCTGGCAGACACTGCTGTCTCTTGGCAGACAGTCACGGGAAGGGCAAAGCACTTAAAAAGATGCTGAGCAACCTCTGGATTATTCGAGGTGATGCTATGCAACCCTGCTATTTTGCAAAGCTGGGCATTAAAGACGTACTTAGGGAAATCTCCTCTGATCCTGCGTCTCCTTCAGAAAGAGATGGAGATAATCCTGTTGCAAAAGTTCCTTCTGGGCAGCCCCTGGGATAACTCCTGAAACGTCTTGCTCTCCAAATGTGACACAGTTTGACATCTTTGTATGTTAAATGCTGGGCTTGCAACTATTAAGAATCCTTTCAGCCTGTGACCATATCATGTTAAGGAAAAAGGAAATGTGCATTTATCACTTGAACTTCTATGCTTTATGACAGTTGACGTATTCCCCATGTAGAGTGGGAAGAGGACTTGTGATGTTAAAGCAGAGGGAGGCAGCCAAGCCTGTTGTGGTGTTGAAAATAGGTTTCTTCCTTTAGTTCAGTAAGGTAGATAAAATTGAAAAACCTTCAATGCCAGATCACGTTGTCTTATGTTATGTATATATTTGCTGAGCCCAGGAAAAGATTGAATTCTTGCTCTTCTATGGGGCTTCCTCTGTGGCTTGGGTTAAGTTAATTTACCCTTGTTTTACGAGAGAGAAACTTTAGGTGGGTTGGTGCTTCCCTATTTAACAGTAGGTTTGTTACAGCTAATTGCTTGGTGAGTGTTTAGTGCTGTAATTATGATCTGAGTTAAAACTTTGCTTGTGTTTCACATCATTGAAAGCCTTTCCACAGAATTATAGCCTCTTGAATCAGATATTATTCCTGCTCAAGTACACTTAAAACAAGCATCCCGTTGTTCCGTTTGGGCTATTCTTGATGGATGGGCTTTTGTGTAGGCATTTTCTAGCAGCCTGTTATTGCTGCAGGAGACATGAAGGGAAAGA